TGTCATCTCCCCAGGGTTGCGAAGAGTGTGTCCTTACAAGTTAAAAATCACTGTATTAGTAAAATGTCATTTTTTGGTAAGAAAAAGAACAAGACATATTTAGAGAGGTGAGCAATATTTCTTTTCCCATCTCCCCCCGCCCCCCACCTCATCCCCTTCTGAGAGGGGGTCTGTAGCGAATGTTGGCTTCTGCTGCCCAGCACCCGTATCTCCTCCTAAAAGGCACGACACTTTTTCTTTTGGGGGACCCACCCTTCTCTCTGGGGGACCCACCCTTCTCTCACTTCCAGAACATGAGGTTTGGGGATGTGACCCAAGTCTAACCTAGTTAGTCCTTTTTGACCCTGTGGACACAGATGGTGCAGGAATGAGTCTGTGACTCAGTTTGAGTCTTTCAGGGAGTGTGAATTTGTGTGTGTGTGTGTGGGTGCAGGCAAGAGATGTTCTTGGTGTGTGGATATGTGATCTGCAGGGACAGGAGAGGGACACCGTGTAGAATCTACAGAAGGAGCCAACGCTGGGACAGCGAGAAACCAGGTCCCTGGTGTCCTCACTGGGACCATTGAACCCAGTCTTGCCTGGGTTCAATAAATCTACTTTATAGTTGAAACTAGCTTGAGTTGGATTTTCTGTCATCTGCAATGTAAATAAAATACAGGGTCTTTGGTGAGAGAAGAAGTATTTGTTGGTGTAAGAACACACAAGATCATGCTGAGAGAGGTTGAGGTAGCACGGAGGAAGTTTATTTGTCTTGTCAATGACCCTGAGAGACCTGGAGTTTTCCTCAGGGATGCCCAGGGTCTCAGTGGTCTGAAGTAGCCCCCTCAGTGCTGGGACCTGGTGCGCAGGGCAATGCTGAAAGCAACTTGGTGCAAATGAGAGCACTGAGACCACAAAAATAAAAGTAAACTAAAAATAAAAAAGACTTCCGTCTCAGTCAATGAACTGATAGGCAGTTTAACGGAGAGTGTAAGGAAATGTTCTGTACCTTCTCCTGGATTCCATCGCGTTCATGCTGTTCACAATTGCCTATGAGTCAGATTTTCTTGCTGTGATGAGATACCCACAAGATGTACTGACATTAACACTTCGTATATATAGAGAGGTTTACGGAAAAATATCTGAAAGAAGACCTGTTACGGTGTTAGTGGGCATTTCACGGTACTGGGATTTGGCCTTTATCTTATTTATTTATTTTTATTCTTGTTTTATTTTTCAGAATTTTCTATAGTGACTATGACTTAATAATAATAACAACAACAACAATAATAATTGTGTTCTTCAAGTACCCTACAGGCACACAAAGTTATAAGCACTCTTAAAGGGAAGTCACTTGGCTAGTTGTCACCTGGAGCTCAGAATTTCTAGCTCAAAGTTGCTTAACTTCTTCCCCTTCATATCCCACCTCAGTGTCTACCTTTGCAAAATTTGGGGACTACTGGTACATGGAACCTAACTGAGATGTAATTTAAATAAGAGAGGGTTTTTGATTCCGATTAAGTGCATGTAGGATTTCAGCTTTAGTGGCATTGTGGTTATCTCGCCAGTATCCCTTCCACTGTGGCTCCCCCATCGTGGAGGGTAGATTCTAATTGGACTGAGTTTTGCCACATGATCCCATTTATATCACCAGGTTTTCCTGTCTCCTGATCTAGGTAAAATTCTCTGATTTCCATTTTATGAATTTTGTCATGTGGCCCCTTAGGTGTCTATTAATGTGTAATTCTTTTTTTTTAATTGAAGTATAGTCAGTTAAAACGTGTCCACTTCTGGTGTACAGCACAATGTCCCAGTCATGCATATATATACATGTATTTGTTTTCATTGTAATTCTAATTGAACATAATTTCAGTGTTTCCATTTGCTTCCTGGAGGCCATCTTTAAGGAGTCTGAGATTTTTCTGCCATTTTTCCTGCCTAAAAAAGGAGAAAACAAAATACTTTCTACAGTAGTATCATACACAATAGTTTTTTTTGTAGTTATCCCTCCACATAATTATAGCCAACACTCAAAAACTGCCCCTTAAGAAAATTCATGATATGACTTTCTAAACACAATTTAGAAACTAATTAATATTATAATACTAAAGACTTCTTTACCAAAAACACATTGAAGAGCTCCTTTTGGGATTAACAGATACACACTCCTATATTAAAACAGATAAACAACAAAGACCTACTGTATAGCACTGGGAACTATATTCAATTTCTTATAACAAGTTAAAATGGAAAAGAATCTAAAAATATGTGTATGTATGTGTATGTTATAACTGAATCGTTCTGTACACCTGAAACTAACACTGTAAATCACCTACACTTCAATAAAAAATAGAAATAATTCAAAAAAGCACAAACTTCCATTGCACATAATTAAAGAATCACAGGATTGATGGGTCTTTTACAATCATCTTGACAGATAAACTGAGACGTGAAGTGTCCTTTTCAATGGAACGATAACTTTGTTATTTTCACCCAGTGGGAACTATGTAGCCGTCATAAAGAACAAGGATGTTCTGTGCGAGCTGAAATGGCGAGATCCTCAGAATAGAACGTTAGGTTAAACAAGAAGGTGCAAGCTGATGGGTCTTAGCATCTTTAGATGTGGAGCAACCAGACATTTCTGATGGGATAGCACCAGCCATGTGTTCTTGCCAAAAAGTGGAACCTGAAGGTAGCCAAACCTCTAGAGCTAAGTTTCATTTATAGGAAACACAGAGACAAGAGGAGTCATGTAGATGGCACCACAAGGAATGTGGAACTGTGCACAGGACAGCTGGCTTGCACAACCAGTCAGTGGCAGGGGAAAAGGCGGGCAGACTGTCTTGGACTACACGAGACTTACGGTGGCATCACAACCAAGTGCAGCGTCAGGAGCTCGTTTCAGGCTGGGTTTAAACAAACCAATTTACAAAGGACAGTTTTGAGATAATCAGGGTAATGTGATTGTGGACTGAAGAATCAGGTGCTGCTAAGACATCACTGTTAACTTTGTCATGTGTGATAGTGGTATTGTGGTTGTGTAGCAGTGTCCATTTTTTAAAAGTGAAGTGCACACCAAAGTGTGTAAGGATGAAGTAACATGACATCGGGGGTTTCTTTTAAAATAAAAATTTGATGATTTTGAATCTGTGTACTGGGAGTGTGTACTCTTCTCTCTACCTTTGTATATGTCAGAAAATTTTTATATAAAATAATAAATAGAAAATGCAAGGTGCGAAACACGTATGTGCTCCTTTGTCTAAGAAAGGAGGGACTAAGAATATGTGTTTCATTTTCTTGTGTTTGCTTTGGGAGGATGCACAAAAGACTTATGAAAATAAGAACCTATAAGGTGGGTGGGGGAAACTGGTGGACTTCGAGGGGTGGGAACGAGGCTTCTTAACATAAGTTTTTATATTGCTTGAAATTTTAGCCATTTGGATGTACTATCTAAACATTTTTTTAAAGAAAATAAATAAATAAAAGTTAAATGAACAGGCAAATGTTCAGAAATGGCCCTCTATACACGGGAAAAAAGGAGAGGTTTAGAGTAGATTTCTAGGCTCCTTCATGTCTAGACTTCAGTGAATTAATAAGTTGTTAATGTTTTATAAAGCTGGTCCCAGTAGCAATTCTAGAGATGGATGGAAAACAGAGTGATAGCAATAAAAAACAAAACAGAGAGTAATAGCAATAAAAAAACAAAACAGGAAAATGAAAAAAACCCAAAAAACCATAACACAAAATCTGAGGGCTGAAACTTTTAAAAGTGTTGCCTGGGGTCATGGTGTTAGGAAGTCTGACCTCTGACCCCATGTTTAATCCACGTTACTTTACGCTTGAATTTGGGCATTTGCTGGTTGTTATTAGATATGTGGCCAGACATATTATGGGCAAATGTGAACTTCATGAAACGTAGTTTATGGTGGAAAAAAGCTGAAGTTTAGGCGACTCACAGTCTTATTTGAAATTACTAATCATGTACCTTGGGGCAAATGAATCTTTTCAGATCTCAGTTTCCCTATCTATACAGTGAAGACATTGAGCATGATCTCTTGAGTGACTGTGTGACGCTGCGGAAGTATACGCACTGGAAGAACTGGATATTTATATTAAATGCATTTAGTTTGGCTTAAAGTGAGTAACAAGGAAATTCAGGAAGGAAAAACAGAGGAAGGTCTAAGGTTTTTCAGAAATGATTCTGTCTGTGAGCTCACTTCCCTTTTGTAAATAACCATTGGCTTTTGAGATTTCCAGAGAAAAGTCACCCTCCCCGGCTGAGACTCTCTGGGTCTGAGATGTTACCTCGGTGATGGAGAATGTAGCTGGAACTCAACAGTTTCTGACGATTAATGCCTGAAGCCCTTCGGATGGGAGGAGAGGGGACATCGTGTGTCTGTGAGAGGAAAGAGAAGAATAGCGAGGTCCCCTCTGTTCCCCCAACAGGAAGGGGAAGGCAGCACTGCAGAAAGGAATGCATTTTGCCTACGTGGACGAGTTGGCAGGTGGAGTGGAAGAGTTTGAAATTTGAAGGGGAAGGTCAAATTCAGAAATATTAGAGCAGGGAGCTGTGCGTAGGTCACTGAACACAATTTCCTCATTTTATAAATGAGAAAACATACCTAACAAGGTTACATGACGTAGCCCAGTTTGTGTTAGAGCAAGGCTAACCATTAAGCTCATGATTGGAGTGAAAGGGCCCCCAGATGTGAGGATGGGGAACAGGCCTCCCTGCTCTCCCCAGTGCCTACTCCAGGGCTGACACATAGTAGGTGCTTCATGAACACTGGTCACATGACTCAACCAACTGGCTGACTTGACTGAATGAACGCCCAGGTGGTATGTTTCCACCTAGTGTTCCCGATGAACACTGCCCATTTCAAACAGAGGACTTCTCTTTCACCCGAGACGTGGGAGGGCTCACTCTACTTGCCAAGAGACACTTGACTAGCACTTTTCTTCCTCTGAGTATTGCTTCCTCTTTGTTGATGCTGACAGAATAAATATCAGAGCCCTCACAGGATGTGTGTGGTATGGCATGACAGAGGACTGGGGTTTTCTTCACTGCAATCATAGACTTGACAGCGTCAATAAGGGAGTGGTTTGCAGTCAAACACCTGGTGTGCTGGGCCTGCGAGCGGGAGAGTGGCTGCTGCTCCTGTGGTTGGGGAGGAGAGACAGTTGCAAGAAGTACCCAGTTCGACTGGAGAATTAAAACGGCACCTGAACACAGCCGTTCTTTGACTTTTCTTCTTCAGAACCCATGTTTTCACATCTTTCCTTTGACTGTGTCCTGTTGTTGCTGCTACAACTTACAAGTAAGTCTGGATTTTTGCGATTGGGTAGTGCAAGGTAAAGATACCAGGATGGTCATTGTAACGTGTGCAAGAGCAGAAGTTTGGAAGCAACCTAAATGTCCACCAGCGGGGTAGTGGGTAAATAAATTGTGATGTATCCATGATACAAACAGCAATGCTGGTGAAACATAGTGATATAAAGTGTCTCTAAGTCATAATGTTAATTGAAGGAAGCAAGGCGCAGAATCGTGGGCATATTTGACTTCTATTTCTGTGAGTGTGTTGCGGGGCGGTGCGAATACATGAATGCTTCTAAATGTATAGACTCTGGGAAAGGGGGCTGGGAAGCGGGAAAGAGCAGGGAGAAGGAGCAGAGTTTTCATACACTTTTTATACTGTTTGAATGTTTATATACATATATATGTATATATTTAGAGTAATTAATTTTAAACCTCGAAACAGTCCTACACTAACTTCTTACTCAGCCGAAAGTTTTTATTCATTATGTGCCTCATGCTTGGACAAAAAAAAAGAGAGAGAGATTTGTGTTAGGGTAACTGCCCTGTGTTGGTGAACAGACACCTAGCCCAGGTGGCCGAGCTCTTTTCCTGCCTGACAATGACCCATTTTCTGACTGTCCATTTTCATCAGCGTTGCCCTCCGATGTTCACGGGGCTGGGCCACAGTCTCTCCTGGGGTGCTGGTTCTCAAAGTGCGGTTCTGAGACCAGCCATAGCAGCACATCCTGGGAGCTTGTTAGGAATACACATTCTTGGGCCCCACCCCAGAACTCTTGAATCAGGAACCCTAGCCGTTGAGCCCAGCGTCTGGGTTTAACCAGGTTTCCTGCTGATTCTGATATCCCTCCCATCTGAGAATCCTTGCCAGGGTGAGTCATCCTCCAGACAGGATAGCAGCAGTGGTTTCCTCTTTATTGTACGAGGCATTACTTGCAGTTTTCCTGAAATGGACCAAACTCACTTGTGCCTGCGTCTTGCTCTGCTTCCCTCTTTATCCAGGGTCTCCAGAAGGGGTGTATGTGGCTGAGGTGGGACAGAACGCTGATCTGCCCTGCGCCTACTCTCCAGCCACCCCTGAGAAATCCGTGCCTGTGTGCTGGGGCAAGGGGCCCTGCCCGCTGTTTGAATGTTACAATATGGTGCTCAACACTGATGGAAGGAACGTGAAATATCGGATATCCAGCAGATACCTGCTAAAGAGAGATTTCCTCAAAGGAGACGTAACCTTGACCATAAAAAATGTGACTTTAGCCGACCATGGGACCTACTGCTGCCGGATCCAATTCCCAGGCCCAATGAATGATCAAAAATCAAACCTTGAGTTGGTCATCAGACCAGGTATGTGGACCTTTGCATAGCTTCCTTATATCAATAAGATGCACCTGTGAAGCATCGTAACTACACTACTTGGTTTCACCTCTTATCTCCCCAGTTACAACCCTGGGGTTGGGCCCCTAAGACTGAATGTTGAACAGGCCCCACCAGCAATGCCCAGCCATGTCTAATTTCCTCCATCTGTTTTGAAAGTCACAGGTAGGATCTATAGAATGGAGAAAGGCCTAGATCAGTGATTCGAGTACCTGGTTGGTCGGTAGAATCACCTGGGGAAACTTTTAACTCCTACAGTTGCTTGGGCTCTACCCACAAACCAGAGAAGTCAGCGTTTCTGGAGGTAGAGCCTGAGCGCTGGAATTGTGCAAAGTCCCTCCCCAGTGATTCTCCCCCGTGTGCAGCCAGGACGGAGAAGCCCTGGACCGTAAATGTGTGGGGAGTGGGTGGTGCATGTGCTTGTATGTTGTAAGATTTACAGAGCACGTACTTAGTGGCTGATGGAGCTAAGTTTGAATCTGACACCCTTCTTACCAGCTTGGTGTAATCTTGTGCAAGTGATTTAAATTCTGTGACCTCCTCCTCTCTAAAATATGGCCGTACCTACCCTGTAGGCCATTGGAAGGATTTTATGAAATATTTTATGAAAAGCATTTAGTGTGGCTATAAGTTCTATCACGAACAACTAGACTGTGACAAGGATGACTAAAACACGTGGTCAAACATTTTTGGTGTCATATGTGCTCAACGAAGGTGTTCAGGTAGGTTGGGAATTTGGGCCAGTGTTTGTCTCCACTTGCTGTGCTTCATACATTGTCTGCTGCCCCTTTGATGCCCTGAAACAAGCTCTGTGCTCTCAGAGAAACCTCGTCCTTAGGTTGTTTTCTGACTTTAGCCAAGGTCACCGCTGCTCAACCTCGGTGGAACGTCGTCACTACAGCCTCACCAAGGATGTTCACCACCGAGGGACACGGCTTAGGTAACACGTGGGGTGTGGGAGGAAGCCTTTAGTTGGTGTCTGAGTTCAGAGAATTTTGAATATTGGAAAAGCGAGAAAACAGTTTAAGAGTGGAGGCATGAATGTTTCTGCACACCCGAGACAGTGAGGTGAGGGAGGTGGTGGAGGTAAATTTGAGCTGGGAGAAGAGCCCCGGGGCTAGGATTCTGAATTAGTCACGAGTAGCCCTCTGACCTGGGCCAGGTCTTTCACGTCTCTGGATAGCAGCTTCCTCTTCTGTCCAAGGAATGGGTTCAGAGACTTTGGGATTTTGTGACCCAGTATAATCCCTGACCCTGCAAAAATAATTTTGATGGTTGATGTATTTTGCCAAATAAGAAAAGAAAAATTTCTGCATTTAGAAAAAGGGAACTCTTTTTTTTCCCCCTATAGAGTTTATTTTTTTCTTTTTTAGTTTTATTAGGTAGAATTATTACATTTTGCACATATACATTATCTTGCATGTAAATACATATATACAGTATACTGCACATTTTTTTAGTTTACATATATGTACTGATCATGGTTTCTAAGAACAGATTAGAGCTTTAGCTTTTTAAACTTACATAGTTATCAAAGGAATAAAGCCAACTGTAAAATAAGAGTCAACAGAATGTGATAATCCAATCATAAATGACAGGTAAATGTACACATTTAAATTTATTTATTTATTTATTAAAAAAATAATTTGACAGTCATTCGTTTTGATTATCATTGTTACCAATTATTGAATGTTTGCTGTATGTCAGGCACTGTGCTAAGGATATTTACATACATTATTTCTCACAGCAGTCCCTATGAAATAGGTACTAATAAGCCTGTTTTACGGTAGAAGAAACAGATTCAGAGAATTTTCTAAGAATGTATAGCTAGGAATTTTTTTTAATTACAATTCTACCGCACATACACACTATAGTGCAAGTAAATACATATATACAGTATACTGTACTTTTTTTTAGTTTACATATGTGTACTAATTATTGTTTCTAAGAGCAGATTAGATCTTTAGCTTTTTAAACTTACATAGTTATCAAAGGAATAAAGCCAACTACAAAATAAGAATCAACAGAATGCGGTAATCCAATAATAAAGGACAATCAAATGTGCTTATACATATTCAAGAAATCAAAATAATAATTAGTTCATTTGGAAAAAAGGATACTCTTTTAAATTAAGTAAATTTAATCTAATGGAAAACTCATTACATTGTCCTTATCATTTTCTGATTTACTCCTGGACTGGTGATGCTTTGTCACGAATGGGTCCCAGGTTATGTTTGGGGTAATCTGAATTAGGTTATACCAAGAATCCTTTCTAACTAGAATCAAGTCCCACATCGTTCTCGGAGTCTGACCTCAGAAGGAGCAGCTAAATCCTTGGAGTAATTCAACAGGGACGTCTCCATGCCGCTCTGGAAGAGATGGATAGGGCTGAAAGAGCAGACCTCAGGTCACAGGATCTGGGAGGTTCATCTTCAGGATTCCCTGTCAGAGACCTGGTCTCTCCTAAACTCTCCAGAGCTCAGTCTTTTATTCTGCAAAGCGAGTTTAATAATAGGTAAATTCCAAATCCGCATCTCATAGCTCTCCTAAGTCCCACCTTAGGAAATTTAAATAAGAAAGTGTGTCTAAAGTGCTTAGCCCAGTGTCTGATCATGGTATGGACCCAGTATATGTCAGTTACTGTCATTATCAGTACGCTCCAGAGGCAGAATGAGATGGTGGTGAAGTGCTTCAGTGATGGGCAGGATGGACTCTAATGTCAGCATTTGGGATTAGTTTTATGAACTCAGTTAAGGTGCTCAAATTCGTGTAAGGCTCAATTTCCTTACCTCTACAATGAGGATATTTCCAGTGCGTCCATTAGGAGATTGTTGTAAAGACTGATGTGATCGTGCATGTAAAGCACTCAGCATAGCATCTGCCCAGAGACAGCACTCAATTATTAGTTGTTATTAGAGATACTCAGCTCTCTAAAGGTTAAATCTTGGTGGTTCTTTAGTGATTGGTAGCCAACAGCTCTTGGGCAATTAGCAAGAAAATTAAATATGGTGGAATTTACCCACATAGTGATCACCCACATAGTGAGCTAATCTAATCTACTAGGTGTCTATTGTATGCCATTGTCATATTTTAACTGTAGACCTAGAAGGCATTTCAGGGATCCCACCCTCCCATCCTGGGTTTCAATGCTCGTTACAACATCATTACCAAGTGGGTGTTCACTGTAGGCCCACACACCTTCCTGGATGGAGAGGCCGCTCCTTACAAGGCAGTGTCTTCTTTTAGAGGTGTCTGTACCATAACCCGAAGTGTCCTTCCCTTTAGTTGGGGCCATCTTTCGCATCTGAGAACGTAGGCACAAGTACCTATAATCTCTGAGCTTTTCAAAGGCTTGAGAGAATATTTAAACAAAACCCCCCAAAAAGGAAAAACCAAACAAAGCTCCAAAATATGAAAATAAAATGAAAAAGTGAAATTAATGAGTATTTAAGGGCATATCTATAATATGTAACATTATGTCAGTTAGACATCAGCTTGTATATAGTTTCATATATGTTTTCTTTAACGTATAATGTGGGCACATTTAATATGTTTGCTGTAAAAATGGAGTGAAGCTTTAATAAGTAAGAGTTCTAAGAGTCTTGGAAGCCCCTAAACTCATCTTGAGCACAGAAGAAATGCCTTCTCTTTTCCACCTGAAGAAGGCAGGACTAGTCAGATGAGTCCTTAGCTCTGCAGGTATAGACTTGGTTTGAATCTCAGGTTCGCTGATTAATAGCTGTGTGATCTTAGGCAAAGTACCTCTTGGAGACTCAGTTTCTTCATTTGAAAAATGGGAAAATAGTAGTACCTACCTATTGTGGTGAAGATTAAAAGATATTGTGCATGTAAAGTGCTAAGCACTGTGTCTGGCACAAAATATATATATTTTTAAGAGCATCATATTCCACCCCCACTGCTGCCTTCACCCCTGCCCTCCCAGCCAAGTCTTGGGTCCTCTAGGGAAAATGTTGTAACTTCCTCCACCCGTCCCACCCATCTTAGATGATGGCTACCTATGTGAAAATAAGCTGTCATTAACCCAGTAGTGCTCTGTTTTATAGATCATTTTCATTGTAAAATGAAGTTTTGTTTTGTTTTGTTTTGTTTTGTTTTGTTTTGTTTTTTAAAAAGAGAAATCAGCCTTACCGTTTAAGCCAAGAAAAATAAATACAGGGGAACCAAAACTGAATTTACACGAGAAAATGTATGTGGTTGAGATTCATGTTTACTTAGTAGTTCCACCAACGTGGTTTTTAAATTCCTTTTGTTTAAAAGGAGCGGAGGTAAATGGGAAATAATCTCTTTCTTTTCCTTTTTTTTTTTAAATAATTTTAGGCTGAGAATATGCTTTTATAATTTTAAAATCAGAATCTGTTAAACTAGGAGTTCTGCGTTAAAAGGTTTAGACTTTTAGGCTTCCAGAAAGCGACCATGACATTTAAGAAGTTTCAGAGCCTCTGACTCAGCCAGAAAAATGAGTAAGCCTGCTTAACTTGCCCAAAGCTGATCTACTGATTTTTAGAAGGCAGCGTTTACAAGGTCAAGGGCCTGTACCCATCTTGTTCATTGCTCGGTCCCCCATGCCTGGCTTGGGGGTGGTGTAGGACTTGTTCATCTAATGGATAGGCAGATGAATAAATAAATGATTAAAAAAGGAAGAAAGTGAGCCGATGGCTGGGCAACGTGATGCTCTTAGCAACGACAATGTTGAGGTGAGCGTTGTTGGAGGCAGCATGGTAAAGAGTGTGTGCTTAAAGCCATGCAGACCTAAATGGGAAGGCCATTTCTGTTATTCACTAAGCTGTGTGACCTTGTGTAAGCCACTTAACTTCCTGATTCTCAGCTTCTTCACCTGTGTAATGGGCTAACAGTTTCTACTTGAACATAGTTGTTCTGAGTGCTACATGAGATTCTTCACCTGAAGAGTTTAGTGCAGTGCCTGTTCACGGTCACTTATTTATTATTATTTTCATTTTTAGGAAACTAAATACCCTTCTCCCTCCTTAATGAGTGAATGTTAAACTTTTTCAAGAAAATTAACTTTCATTATCTTTCCAAGTCTAATTACAGTCCAAGTCATGAATGTTGTGGGAATTTTGAAGACTCCTTTAGGGCCCTGTGGACACAACAAACCACATATTCAGAATAGGTCTTCCTGGCAGAAGTCTCTACTTCATAGAAATTAATAGTTGGGTTCATTATCTGGATGAAACAAGTGCGGTCATCCTAAAGTTGATGTGTAAGTGTAAGTTTTGTAAGCCTCTCAGTTAATTATTGTGAAGAGTTCGGAGCAAAATTAATTTCAAAGAGGATTATAGGCATCTTTTAAGATTTTTTTTTAAAGCTTACATAAAAGAGCTGAAATGTTCTAAAATTAGATTGTAGAGATGGTTATACAATTTTGTGAAAATAATAAAAAGCACTGAATTAGACACACACACACACACACACACACACAGACACACAAAGCTTACATAAAAGAAAATGTTCTTAACCATTCTGTTGGCTTATTTTTTTTTCTTTATGACAGAGACACAGACACTGGAGACCCTCCGTGATAAAAATCAAACAGTAAGTAACTTCATGTGTATATGTGAGCAGATCGCATGCTCAACTCAGAGAAAAGAAGTATGGCTTTCGTCTTCCCTCCTGCCTACTCTTTCCTTGGGGGAGTAAATGCTTTAACCTCCCTTGGCTTCAGATTCTTTGGCTGTAATATGTTGCTGATGATACTTGTGACTGCAGAGGCCTGTTGTAAGGATGGAGTGAGGTGATGCCCGTAAGGTCCCTGGCACATAGTAGGTGCTGGAAAACCAAAAGGAAGAAGCATTTGCTTTTTGACCCGATTCTCAAATTTCACAACCCTCTATCTTCCCAGGATATATCTCTTCTTGCTTCCGTTGCAACTCTGATGAGAGAAAAGTTGTTTGTTTGTTTGTGGCAAGACCCCAGGCTGGAATATTCCAAGCCAAGAATTTACAGATATAACTGAAAATAAAGCAGTATTTCAGTTAACCACAATTTTAGTGTCTCCCACCTTCTCAGGGTACAAGGGAGAACCACAAGAAAGCAAGCTGATAGCAGCGACTTGCAAATTCTTGGAAGACGTATGTGTCTAGGGGTCTGTCTTCATTTGATTCTGTCTCTGACTTGTGTGTTCACAACTGAGGCTCAGCATTTTGTGCTTGTCCCTGGCCTCTTTGTGATCAAGGACTGCCTTTCAGTACCTCACAGTGCTTAATGCGTGTGACCTTGCATGTGGCAGTCCTGCAGTAAAGGTCTGTTGAATAAATGGATGACTTAATTCCTTGACTTTGTTTTAGAAGTGTTTACCGTTATTTTTCACAGGAGGTACGTGAACTGAAAGTTTAGAAGCAGGAGTGTCTATGTGACTTTCAGTTAACAAAAAAATCAAATTAGAGTGATCGCTATAATAGTTACTGTTGATCAGGCATCTATCGAGTGCCAGCCTCTGTGCCAAGCATCTTCTATTTTTTGTACTTAATTCTTCCAATAACTTTACAGGATGACTCAGCTCTTAGTGACCCAACTGAGATTTGAATCCAAGACACTCTGATGGCCAAGTCCTAGCTTTTAAATCACTATCTTTCTGTGAAAATTGGGATTTCATGGCAAGGCACCAAATTTAGACCACTCTGAAACTTCCTGGGAAAATCAGGGAATCTTGAATGAACAGAGCTCCACTTTAAATCCCATTTTTGTTTGTGGAAAGGGGAGTCCATGTACTAAGGCTCCTTCCCCACCCACATTCCCTTGCTAACTTCAGAGATTCAGCTGATCCCTTTCTTTGGGTGGTTTGAGGCTTATCTACAAGGAGACAGATCAGGAGTCATTTCCAGGTCCCTGCGTTCCCGTGATACTGTGAAAGAGATGGTCTGATGCACAAGTCATGAGACTGGCTGAGCAGACGGTGGGCTTCTGGCCGTTTGCTGCAGTGGTGTCTGTGTTCCCATAGGAAATACCCACACTGGCTAGTGAGTTGCAAGACGTGAGTGCGACCACCAGAACAAGCCTCTACATCGGAGCCGGGGTCTCTGCTGGCCTGGCTCTCATTCTTGTGGCTGGTGTTTTCATCCTCAAATGTAAGTCATTTGATGTTCCTTCTCTCTCTCTGATCAGGAACTGTTAATAAAGGAACCAGCATGAACCTACATGAAAATAGTAGTTTATATTTATACCTACAGGTGATTAGAATAAATACACTTTAGTCCTTCTGAACCATAACAATAATAACAGCTCATTTTTTTATTCAGTGCTTACCGTGTAACAGGCAGGCATTGTGCTAAACATTTACTTACATTTTAGCATCGTCACCATCCTCTAAGGTCGATAGTACTATCATCCCCATTTTATAGCACAGGAGAGTAAAGCTGAGAGTCAGCCACCTTCCCCAGGCCTCAGAGTCAGTAAGCGGCAAAGCTGGAACTCAAATTCAGGCAGGCTGATAACCTGTTCCCTGTTCCTTTACCTTTTGTTAAGAAAATAAACCTTTTAAATTCATGACTATGTCCAGGTTTATTAGGAAGGACAACAGCAGAAATCAGAAATCACTTCCTTCTGTGCATTTTTCTCTCTCACTTATTTCTCAGACATAGTTCTTTAGAGAGGGGTGGCGAGTCCCTTTAACACTGGGCCATGGCCAGGATTGCAGCATTTGTGATTTCCTCCACCATGGCACTCAGCACACACATTTTTTCCTAAGTTACTTATCTTTATTAAAAGAACTTTATTAAAGTATGATTTTTATATAATAAACCGCATACCGAAAGAGCGTTCAACTTGAATTTCAATAGATGAATATACCCAGGAAATCATCACCACAATCAAGACCCAGACGCTTCCATCACCCCGAAAGCCTTACATGCTTTTACAAATGTGATATAGTCTCTTCTCTTTGGGGGCAGAGGCCAAGGCCTTATACTTTTACTCTAGCAGCCTTTCCTACTAATACATAAACGTGCACTGTGTGTAGGGTGATGAACCACCACAGATTTTCCCAGGACTGAAGGGGGTTCCTAATGCATGCTAACACTGGGAGGGTCCAGGGAAAACTGGGAGGAACTGGTCACCCTAACTGTGTGGCTTGAAGCTGCCAAGTGCTTTACAGTAAATCCTCATAACTGCCCTATTGAGAAAGGTACTATTATTATCCCAATTTACCAAGTGGAGAACCAGTGTGTGGAAAGGTTAAGGTTAACTTGCCCAAAGTCACAGTTAATTGGTAGAGGATTTGAAACCAGGCTGTCCTGCTCACTGTTACCTTATTCCGTCATTAATGGTAAAGGGGTTGTTCAGACGAAGAAGCTACCTGCCCACATTTACCTGGGTTTACGGAGAGGTAGCAGTGGATTTTGTGAATTGACCGCAAGAGTATGAAGTCTACGGGTGGATAAGGAGCAATGAAAACGCTTACTTTTTGAGTTCTGCCAAGGCCTGGATGGTAGGGACCGTTCTAGTTTGTGTAAAGGGGTATGGAAGGAAGGAATGAGGAGTGGAAGGAGTCACGCTTTGTATACACATGTAGATTACTCTAGAAACATATGACTACTTAGAATAGATGGGAAAGTTGTGTTCGATTTGTGCTCTTTCCCTAGAAGTTGCTGTAGAAAATCTTGGAGCCAAGGTGACAGGTTTTTTAAGTCATGACCGCAAAGCCAAAACTTGGCTCTCAGTAATACACAGCAATCCTGCATTTCTCTAGAGTGCTGTCTGAGATGAGCATCACACACCTCACTGAACTAATGACATCTTAGAGGCCAAGGCTTCCTTCTTCCCTTGATCACTTTCTCCAGAATCAGCTCTCTCTCCATTCCAATTTTTGCTATGTTTATTAGCATAAAAATAAGCTCTAGTTCACACATTTCTCTCCAGCTCCTCCCATTTCTCTGCTCCCCTTCATAGCCCTGTTTCTCAGATGAGTTGTTCCTACATCTTACCCCCCTGCACTATTCAACCACCCCCACCCCCAATCTAGCTTCTACACCTGAAGTGCCGTGGAAATAGTTTTAGTCAAACTCACCAGTGACCTTCATTTTGCTAAATCCGGTGGATACCTCTGTCTTCACTGGAGTCCATCTTTCAGCAGTATTCAACTAAGTGGACTCTCACTCATTCTGAAAAGTCTTCCTTCTCTTGGCTTCTGAAACACCACTCTCTCATTTCCCTGGACACTCCTTTTCAGTCATTTTTGTTATTTTTTCTTCTTCTTGATCTTAGATGTTGAGACTCTCTGGGGCTGGCCCATTTCCTCTCCATACCCTCTGGGTGAGTGAGGATGACCATATTCCCACAGACTCAAATATCATCCTTCATGTCTCTCTCCGGCACACAGAGTGTTGGCACTGATTGTCCAAGGGTCTAGTTGTCATCTCCACTTAGACGTCTCCCACATTAACGTGTCCAAGATGGAGCTCCAGAGTCTACACCCCACCTTCCCAGAGCCCAGCCTCCCCCTCCCTGGTCTTCCCCGCCATAGTGTTTCACTGTCGTCCACCTGGTTTCTGAAGCCAGAGAGCCAGAAGCCATCCTGGAATCCTCTCTTTTGTCACCCCTAACACACAATCCAGTTTCAATTCCTGCAGTCTTTCTGCAAAATTTATCCAAAATCCATTCGCTAGTCTGCATCTCTCTCCGTCACTGCCTTACTCTGAGGCAGTGCTCTGTCTCCTCTTTTTCCCCTTAATATATGTACCTCCTTTTAATTCATTCTCCACATAGCAGCCAGAGTGATTTTCTAAAAACCCAATTGGATCATATTTCTGCCCTTCAGTTATTTCTTAAAAGTATTAGAATAAAATCCACACTCTTGACTGTGACTGAAAAGGCCCTATAGGATCTAGCCGCGGCCTCCCTCTCAGACCTTGTCTTGTGCCCTTCTCTTACTCTAGCTTACTTTTGTTTTCGGGTTCAGCCACTCACCACAATCTTTACCAGGGGTTTCCTCTACCCAGAATGTTCACCCTAGCTCTTCACTTGGGTGACTCATTCTCTTCTTTCAGAACTGAGGTTAAAGAACTCTCTTCTGAGAGTTCTTTCCTGGTTACTTTCTTAATTATCTGTAACAGTGCATTATTTTTCTATTTTTTTAATTGAAGTATGGTTGACATACAATATTGTGATAGTTTCAGGCATATAGCAAAGTGATATATATATATTATATATATTACATTTTTTCAGATTCTTTTCCATTATAGGTTATTACAAGATATTGAATATAGTTCTCTGTGCTACACAGTAAATCCTTGTTGTTTATCTATCTTATATATAGTAGTTAGTACCTACAAATCCTGGACTCCCAATATATCCCCCCAGCCCCTTTCCCCCCAGTAAACATAAATTTTTTTCCATAATTTTGTTTTCTATGTCTGAGTCTGTTTCTTTTTTGTAAGTGAGTTCATTTGTATGATTTTTCAGAGTTTACATAAAAATGGTACCATATAATATTTGTCTTTCTCTCTTTGATGTACTTCACTCAGTATGATAATCTCTAGGTCCAGCCATGTTGCTATAGTGCTTTTCTTTCTGCTTTTCTGTCACGTAACAATTTGAAATTATTTTATTTTTCTATTTACCTTTCTTTCTTTCTTTTTTCCTTAAATGTCTCCTCACTAGAACACAAGCTTTATGAAGTCAGGGCTCATAATTCACTTTTACGTCCCCGATGCTTAGCATACTACCAGCCACATAGTAGGTGCTCCCTATATTTACTGAATATGAAAAACGCATCTTTATTACTTTCTAGCATAGTTTATGCAACAAACCAAGACATAACATCAGTGGTTTGATTTAATTCAATCTGACAGGTAGACCAGATTTCCCTAAACAATCCTTGCCTCTAACTAGCCCATTTTTTTTCTTATATCATTTATTTTATGAAAGCATTTAAAATGGACTTTTCTTTCCCTTTTTACCTAGGGTATTCTGATAGCAAAAAGAAGTTACAAAATTCAAGGTAAGAGTAACGGGTGGCTTAGGGGAAGGTGAGGATCTTGGAAGTCCCCACTCTAATCTGGGCTTTAATCTTGGCTCTTAGAAGTGCTGCCCTGAGATTTTGGGAACTAAATTTTTACTATTTCCTGTTTTCTTTAGGCCTAGATTTCAGAAATGCAAATTTAACACGTCACTCAGTTTTATTCTTGATTCCTCTAGCTTCTTTATTCCTAAACTTAAGGTATAGAACTTACCCCTTTGATAGGAGTTATTTATTTCTATATAAATGGGCTTTGTCAATGAACTGACCTTTTGTCTGACTGAGTGCCTACTACATCCAGGCTCTGGCTGGGCATTGGTTTACACATGTGAACAAGAAACCCAGAATCTACTCTGAGGAGTTTTATAGCCCAGTTCTGCTGAGCTCTGATTACCTATTAGAATCACCTAGGGCACATAAACACACTATTGTCAACCCCGGAGCAGATAAACCAGAGTCTTTGGGGATGAGGCCTAAGCATAGTTATTTTTCTAAAACTTTCCACATGATTATAATGTGCAAACAAGTTTGAGAACTACTGGTCTATTATATCATAGCCTTAGTCTCCATTCCTGATTATACTACACACACACACACACACACACACACACACTCTGCCCTATTCCAAATGCACGTAGCTTACATAAGTTTTTCTAGATTTCAGGGACATTTGGTACATGGGAAGAATGCAATATATTTCAAGAAAAAAAATGATTCCATCCATTGAGTACTATCAAAACAACCAATAATTTTAGACTAAGTAGAGAGTAGAATTATGAAGACAAAATAGTCTGCAGTAAAAAGGTCAAATAAGGCCAAATAGAATGTTTAATTATCAATGGCTTTATATCATCTGTGCCAGTATTCTTTATTAGAGCTGAAATTTGAAACGTGGTAATATCCATAGGTAACATTTACATGCATTAATTCATTCATTTTTTGTGTGAAATTACTGGTTGATGTTCATCTCCACCTATAAATGTAAACTCCACAGAAGATTAGGAACATGTCTGCCACGTTAACAACTGTGTCCCCTGTTATACACTTGATTCTTGTAGGGACTTAATAAATACTTGATAATTGAATGAATGAATGTTCCTTACAGCAGCCCCGTGAGATAGAGTACTTCTTATTCCCATTTTATAGATGAGGACCCTAAGGCGTAAAGCTTACTAATATACAGTCTCTGTGGGATTTTTGTGTTTTGTTCACTGTTGTGTCTCTTGGTGCATAGGACAGGATGTAATACACTAAATATTTCTTTAATGAATAAATGAAAAAATCAAACCCAACTTACCCAAGGTCATATGGGTGGTAAGCAACAGAGACAGGATTCAGACTTAAGTCTCATTGGATCCATAGCACTTTCATTTCTTTTTCTTCTTGAAATTGTTCAAACCCACAGAATAATTGAAATAACAGTGCCAGGAACAGTAGAACCCTTCACCTAGACGTGTCACTTAATATTTTGACACATGTGCTTTATCTGTTTCCTCTATTTATGTACACCTTTTCCCCTAAACCATTTGTAAAGGCGTTTCAGACATCTTGAGATGCTTCACCTAAACGCTTCAGTCTGCACTTCCTCAGAAGAAGGATATCCTCTTAGATAGCACAATGCCACTTTAAAACCTAAGAAAATCCTAATTAATTTGAGTTTGCTCCATTATTCTTCAGATTATTTCATTGCTATTTTATGTTCTTCCCCCGGTCAGGACCTGGTCAAGGATCATATACTGGATTGGTTTCTCTTTCTTCAGCAAAGCCCATTCTCTTAACTATTCTTTGTTGCCTAAGAAATGTTTTAACTCAACTGCAATATTTTATTTCCACAGCCTGATCACTTTGGCCAACCGCCCCCCATTAGGGTTAACAAATACAGTCACAGAGGGGATGCGCTCAGAAGAAAACATCTATGTCATTGAGGAGAACATGTATGAAATGGAGGACCCATATGAATACTGCTGTGACGCCAGCAGTGGGCAGCAGCCCTGACAGCCTCTGGGCTGTCCCCCTTCAGTGCCATCAGATCCAACCGCTTCAGCTGGGGACTTGGTGTTGTCTTCTTTGGAAACTATGAAATGTGTCAGCTGACAGGTTTTAGAGGTTCTGACCTTGGCCACTGAGGAGAGTTTTTCCATGTTCTAAAGATACTTAGCTCACCCAGGGATGGAGCTGGGATCTGCATTGTGCTTAGACAGACACGACATTGCTTCTGTGTTCCAGCCAATACGGCCACCCAACTCAGAAACTGCTGATCGAGCATTAGAGCTCAAATGGGTTTGTATGGAGAACAGGAATTCTTACTAGGGGGTCTCTGAAATTCCAGGAAATTCAGTTACATGATGAGTCCACGAAGCTCCTGAAAACAGAGGGGAAATTATGTGCTGAGATGTGTGTGTGTCTTTTTCGGTTTGGGAAGTCTAAAGGGGCCACTGATTCCCAGAGAGCTCTGTGGCCCATAATAGGTTGGGAGTAGGACCAGATGGCCTTGAAGGCTCTCCTTGAGTCTCAAGGGTGACGCTTCTTTGAGTGTTGATCGGCAGCAGTAAGTGCCACAGCACAGCCCTCCTTGGCCTCAGTGATGAAGACCGCCCAGCCAGGCCTGTGGTGTGACAGGAGCTCCTGGAGAAAAAGGAAGTATGCTCAGTGTGTGTTGACAAGTTTTGCTTGGGGTACACTCAAAGGGAAGGATCTCCGACCAACTTCTCCATTCATGGAGAGAAGCAGAGCTGTGTTTTTCACAAAAGAAGAAGCAGTGACTGGGGCACGAATCCTGTGTCCTGTTGGAAAGAAGGCAAAGGGCTCCAGCCGTCTGTGTTTGTCAGCATCAGATTCCTTGATGGAAAGACAGTGGTCCTTAAGCTGCTGTTCCAAGATGGTGGAGGTTAGGCTTGTCTTGCCTGTTTGCTTCCTCACTGGTGCTTGGCACAGCTCAGACACATAATAAAAGTTTCCTCAACACCTTTGGAGTGAAAAAATTAAATAAGCAGAAAGGTGGCTTTCTGGAAAGACCTCTCCATTGGAAAACTCAGACAGAGCTCTGTAACTTCACTTCTTAGGAAACTCAGAAGTACTCCCAAGCTCCTGTTTCTTCTCTTAATCCAGGCTCTTTGTTTCTCAGCATCATCTCCCTGCTCAGGCCCTTGGAAGTCTGTTACTCTCTTGTTTTTTATTCCTTTTCTACTGAACAAATCAACAGTATGGACCTGTTGCTGCCTGAAAACTGCTTTCCACAAGCGAGGACTGAACTGCTACTGTGCTGCACATGGGAGATACTGGTCACCAAGAATGCTGGCAGCCTGTTTGGGCTGCATCTAGACAGTGTGGGAAAGCACTGGCTTTATACAGGGAGCTATGTAAGGGAGATCATTGTGCAAAGTTCCAGGCAGTAACTCTTAAATAAGCTGAAAAATTAATCTTAAGTGTTATAAAGCTATGAAATTCTAGAAGGAAGAAAGGATACAGAACACATTTAGACCAGATCAATGACGATCCTTGCAACAGTGTTTGTGAGAGACTTTTCCCATCAACAGGGGAATAGTTGATTATTGTGGTATGTCAACACACTGGTGTGGTTAAAAGAATTTCGTGGTTTCATCATTGAGCTGTTTTGCTAATTCAACAAGTGCTTACTATGTGCCAGATACTCTGGTGCTGAGATCATAGAGAGAAACCAAATAGACACATCTCCCTGACCTCACGGACTTCCTGGTTGATCTGACAGAAGGAGGATTCATTCCATTCATTCATTCATTTGTTCAGTGGACATCTATTGGCACCTATTTTTTTTGCCAGACTCTGCTTTAGTTCTAGAAATACAGCAGAGAAGGGAAAAGACAAAATCCCTACTCTTACAGCTTGTGTTACTTGTCAAAGGAGAAATCTATATTGCTATGTCAAAAGAAAAGAAAAAATTCTAGAATAGTATATGTACATATAATAATTTTTTAACACCTTTATCGTGGTATGGTTCCTGTATAGTAAACTCTGCATATTTCAGATGTACAATTTCACGAATTTTGATAGATGTACACACCAATGAAACCACAACCACAATCAAGATAGCTAACATTTCCATCACTCCCCAGGAGGTGCAAATTTCGAATTCCCAATTTATCCCTTCCCACCCCCTTTACTCCCTGGTAACCATAAGTTTGTTCTCTATGTCTGTGAGTCTGTTTCTGTTTTGTAAATAAATTCATTTGTGTCCCTTTTTTTTAGATTCTACATATAAGCAGCATCATATAGTATTTTTCTTTCTCTTTCTGGCTTACTGCACTTAGAATGACAATCTCCAGGTCCTTCAGTGTTGCTGCAAATGGCATTACTTTATTCTTTTTTATTGGCTGAGTAGTGCTTCATTGTGTGTGTGTGTGTGTGTGTGTGTGTGTGTCACACATCTTCTTTATCCAGTCAGCTGTCAACAGACATTTGGGTTGTTCCATGTCTTGGCTATTGTAAATAGTGCTGCTGTAAACACTGGGGTGCATGTGTCTTTTTAAATTATATATACCGAGGAGTGGGAATGCTGGATCATATGTTAAGTTTATTTTTATTTTTTTTAAGGAACCTCCATACTGTCCTCCATAGTGGCTGCACCAATTTACATTCCTACCAACAATGTAGGAGGGTTCCTTTTTCTCCACACCCTCTCTAGACTTAATGCTAATTTTTTCTTTTGCCTTTAAATAAGCTAGAAGAATATACTCAAATTTATATGGTTACTCCACCGGGGCAAATAGTCAAGAGACAGACTTGTGCTTTTTTATTTTATGTGCTTCTATAATTCTGTGAATTATGTTCTCCGTATTTTTGAAATAAAAAATAAATTTCAGTATTATAGCTGTGTTTTCCTATCCACCCTCCTCCTCACGAATGAAGAAATGAAGATTTGGACAAGTTAAGTTCAAGGTCAAGGCTGGCAGCAGAGTGTGGCAGCTTTCTAGATGTGTCAAGAGTGTTCCAGCAGGGATTGGGACCCCGATTTTCAGGATAGGATCTACTCTTCATCAATTAGTTCAAACGAGGAAGATGGCAGAAAGGGAAACAAACTTTAAAGCTACCCCAAAGTGTCCAAGAGATGACAAGTGGTAAAAATTAAAACCAGTCTAACAGGATTGAATGTGTGGTTTTCTCTTAGAAGTGCCGTAGGGTTTTTCTTTCCAGAGCTGTGTCCTAGAGACCCACAGGACAAGCTGGGGTCCTCTGGTCATTTCATTCTGAAAAAATAAGGTTTTGTCTGCCTATCATTTCTAGTTTTAGAATTCCCGAGGCAAAAATTCCAAGTGGTTCAACCTGTCATTAATTGATTTTGGGGCACACCACATGCCCATGCCTATTCCCATTTAAATTTAATTCTCATTTAAATTTGAATTTTAAAAAACTGAACACAGATTAATTTTGTCTCCAGATTTCTACTGAGAAAGTCTAGATCCTTCCAGAGATAAGCAGAGATGCCCGAGACCTGTGAATGTTAAGATTTGCCATCATCCTATCCCGGGACGCAGTTGGGTAGTGGGGAAAAGGAGAGGGGGAGCTGGACCATTTGGTTGCAAGTTCTCAGGCTTAAGGAGGGCTCAGATTGTGACCTGTTTTTACTGGAACACCTGTGCCATGGAGCAGTATGAGTCAGAAATGGTAGTTTCAGAATACTAGATCCTCTATATCTTCTTCTCGGTCATGCTGCCTGTAATTACAAAGGTCATTCCAAGTCACTCATTTACGTGGTAGTGGTTTTCTTTTGTAAATTCTTGCCCAAATTCCTTGTGCTTATGGTATGACCCTTTTTCCAGAAAAAGCAGTGAGATTAAAAAAAAATTGGTTATTTAAGCTATTCAGGTGTGGTGGTGGTTGTGGAACATCTGTTTAAGTATCTGTATTATCTTAATATAATTGTTCTGTTCATTGGTCACCTTCAGAAAACATTACAGCTTTATGGTCTATACTCAACAACCTGCTCATGGTAAGTTGTCCTTTGTAATGTCTACATTTTGTAACTGTACTTAAAAATTTTAATTTTTTTCATGGGGGAGGTAATTAGGTTTTTTTTTTTTTAAATGGAGGTACTAGAGATTGAACCCAGGACCTTGTGCATGCTAAGCATGCACTCTACAACTGAGCTATCCCCTCCCCCCTTGTAATTGTACTTTTTCATATGTTTTAAATCTAGTTCATGTAAAATAGGAGCATTTTACATTCCCCTGCAATGTTTATCTTCATTTGGTCAGTTCTGAAATACCCATACATCCATATCTCCATATCTAATCTGCTTTTAATTTTATTATCCACAGTCTTACTTCCCATTCCTGCTCACTTACAGACTGAATTCAGTTCTTGTTCTGAAAACCTTTAGGTAAAAAGTAACAACTGTATAAATGTAGGTGAACGTTGTTATATTAGTAATATAGGTTTTTGATTCATTTCTTTATTCGAAACTTCACCACGAGCTTTTAGCAAACCACTTTTGACCTTAGCGTTGGCTAAATCTGAGGATTGAAGCAAGAATCCGATGGTGAGGGGACTTTAAAAGCTGCCAGCTGCCCAGCCCTCAGTGAAGTCCTAAGAGCAACCCTCCTGATCCAATAATAATTCTTGCTAGGTAAGCCGCAGCCTCTAATCACCACGGGAAAAAAGAGTTTTCTGAATTGATGGAATTTCTGGTGAAAACTAAGGAAAATAACATTTAGTTATTCTAGCTGCCTTGTTTCAAGCAAACGTGTTTACAAGGGACTCTGGGTGGGTGAGCTAACTTGGAGCCGATTGCTTTACAGTACGTTGAGACTCTGAGTAAGAAACTCTAAGCCAAAGACGCATCTAATTAGAGTGCTTGTTTCCCTTCTTGTTTTGTAAGTTTTTGTTTTGAAACAATTTGAGATTTGCAGAAAAATTGCAGTAACAGTACAGAGTGTTCCCGTGAACACCAGTTTTCTTGGTTTAATTGCTTACATAACCATAGTAGGTTGGTCAAAACTAAGAAATTAACATTGGTACAAGACTATTCACTAAGTTACGAATTTTGCTTGGATTCCTACTATTGTTTCATTTGTTTGTGTTTGTGGGGAGAGGTAATTAGGTTTATTTATTTAAATGGAGGTACTGGGGATTGAACCCCGGACCTTGTGCATGCTAGCATGAGCTCTTATCACTGAGCTACACCCTCCCTTTTTACTACTGGTTTTTAAAATTTTAAATTAAGTGCTTTTTGAAAAATCTAGTAGAGTTAAAGGTGAAAGTGTCTATTCCCTGTCCACCCCATCAAAATTTCTCCACTGTCCCACTCCCCAGGAGTAATCCTTCAGGCCAGCACGGTCCAGAAGAAATACAATGGCTTTTTTCCTTGTGATTTTAATTCTGCAAAATCCAGGAAGCATTTTCCATTTAGAGCACATCTCGATTGTAACTAGTCACATTGTAAGTGCTCAATAGCTGCATGTGGCTGGCTTGTAGCTCTAGAGCTGGCACAGTTCTGGGCTATTCTCTACACACACACACACACAAACACACACACTCTTTTTCTCACTGGTTACAGAAGGCCATCGTTCCCCGTCAGAATGGAACAGCAGCTTTTACTTAGATAGCTGTGTAGTAAAGTAGAACAAGTGTGCATCATCTATTAAATCACTTCCCCACGCATGTGTTTTTTCCCATTTCAAATAAGGCTTTAACAAACAGCCTTCATACAAAAACCTATGTGCATCTGTGTACTTCCAAGGTGTAGACTCCTAGACATGGAATTGCTGTGTCAAAAGATAGGATTGTAAAAAAAAAAAAAAAAGATAGGATTGTATTTGATTTGTATCATGACTAGAGAACAATAATATGTTTATTAACAAATATGATAGTGTATTGATAAATGTACATTATCTTTCTCAAGACAGTCATTTTAGACAAAAATTTATTCCAGCAATGTTCTTTTCATTCAAAATAATTTGTTTTGGTTTTTGAAATTTGACTCAAGAACCAGTTTAAGCTAAAATACCTAGGCCAAGTTATTCTCATAGGCCTCATTCCTTTGTAATCACAGTTTATTTATACATTCATTTATTTCTTCCCTCCCTCCTTCCCTCCCTCCCTCCTTCCATCCATCCGAGAAGTAGCTTTGTACCCCCAATTACCCTTTTGTCTTCTATTGGTTTGTTCTCTTCACACAGCAGCCTAAGTATCTCTTGTTCTTTTCTAAAAACATCAGCTAGGTTCAATGACTCCGTTAGTTAAAACATTTCACCAGCTTCCCATGGGACTGGATTTCTTCTGACCTCACCAACCTCTCTTATTCTTTCTGTTTCATCCGCACTAGTTTCCTTTCTGCTTCTAGAACAGACCAAGTTCCTTCTGGTTTCAGCGCCTTTTTAATGCAGTTGTGTCCCTGTGTTTAGAATGCTTCTTTCAGATTGTCAGCAGGACTGCCTCTTTCTCGTCCTTGAGTTTCCAGCCTAAATGTCACCCAAGAGCTTTCCCTGAACACCCTATCAAAAGTACCAACCTGCTCATCTCTACTCCAGTTTATTTCCTACATTATGTATTTGAATCTAACGTTCTAATGGTTTACATTTTTGTGATTTGTCTCCCCGACCCTCTGCCGAAAAGTAAACTGCCATTCATCTCATATCCCAGGGGCCCTATGCAATGCTTGACTTGTAGTGGGCGCTAGATCAACCTTTGTAGACTGATGGAATGAATGCACGTATGCCTGCTCTATTGCAAACTCAAGCTGCAACACTGGTGCCACAGACACTACAAAGATTTGCAAGTTTTTCCTTCAAGGAAGTCAGAGTCATCAGGGCAGCCTGTTAGTCATGCAAATGACAATAATAAAAGGCAGTCAGCGTTAGCAGACCTGCATACTGCATGCTGAATGATACAGAAAAGCAATTTTTGATGATTTTCTTTTTCCTGGAAATATTAATCCTTGTTGTTACCATTTCTTTATTTTACCTCTATGAAATTACAGCTGACTCTCATAGACTAAGGAGAGCCTGGCACAGAGCAGGCGCTCAGTAAGTGACAAGTGGATGAGTACGCTA